TGAAAATGATCATCCTCCTTCTTGAATACCAGTGTCTGTGATGATAAACACACGTCTTTCTACTAAGGAAATTATCCAATGTTTTGAAGCCAAGCAAATTAAATAACTGTTGACAGCAAGTTTAAATTCCCATTTTAGACCATTTCCAGGCAGAACATGCTACCATGAGAGATCGCTGTCACTTGTAAAGTGAGCCAGGAGCCAAGAGTTACAGAAACATTTGAGATCTTCAATCCAAATTTCAAGGCACGGCAGGAGGATGAGCCTGTATGAATGTTTTAGTCCTAAAAGCAACTGCTAAGGAAAGTGAAATACTCCTGCAATCTGACAACAGTGAAAGTGACCACATAAAAACAGGCCTCTCTTTCGTGTCATCTCAAGAACATGACTGATTGCTCTATTAGTAAAAAGGTCAGGTGGCACTTTTTTTTTCTCTTCCCACTATGCAAACATCTGGAAACAAGAAGTACAAAGAGGTCCCTAAAAAACAGCTTCATTTATGCTGCACTAAAGTACTGCTATGCATACATGACACCCCAGTGATGTGAAAAAACATCTGTATTTAACCTAAAATGAACCTGTGACTCCATCCATGCCTGTCAGACTGAGTGTTTAGTTTAGTTTAGGTTGTGTCTACCCTAAAAAAGCATTTTTATTTTATTTATTTTTTTAGAAACACAAGCCTGGAATGCAACACTGAAATATGCAAGATCCATTTATCTTTTCAGAGTGGGGCAACAGATAAGAATCTATCCAATCCACTTTAAAGTGGGCAGCTATTGGTGGTACTTGGTGTCCTAAGATTCAGGTCATTAGGCTGAGGGCATTTCAAATATTCATCAAATGTTGTTCACCCCCATCAGTGTTTCCTTTACTCTCAAACAGAGGAATACCACTCGAAGAAATTCTACATTTCAGTGTGAAAGCCATACCTGTGACCACAAACTAGGCATTCTCCAGGAGGCAGCCATTGTGTGACATCAAGAAATCATGTTCTTGTGAGGGTGGTTTCAACAAGATAGCAAATGTAGTTTTATTTACATAGGGCTGCACATGTAGAGCTCCTAGGATCTGCTAAGGGTGTTTTCCCCAGCTTGATGAAGACAGATAAATGTTTTAGTGGTTCAGAGCAAGATCTCTGTTAAATCATCTATGTTTAATTGTGCATGCGGGAACCAGCCTTTCAGCACATATTTCCCTCCAAAACCCGACAGAGAGGCAAAGATCACATAATACAAGCTGCCTGCATATACACACAAACAGTGCAGCAGGCATAGGCCCTGGAGACAACACTATGAATGTATTCCCACAAGGCCATGGTCCCAATTCAGTCACAACCATTACTGTTGACACATTATTTAAAAATTGTCAAAATGACCTTTTTTGGTAATTTGATGTTATTCTCTACCTTTTGTTGTCCCCCAATTAAAATGGATTTATGGAAAAGGTGCTAAAGAACAGTCACAGCAAACACCCTGTGGGGGGGGGGAAGCAACTGTGGCATCACCCATTTCTCTCTGGACTATGCAACTTGAATCCTTCTAATTAAAGCCAACTAAAAGAATTAAACGCTCGAATTTCACCTGCGAAAGCTTGGCCGTAAACTCCTTGGATTGCCTTTACTGCACAGCAGCTCAGTTTTTGTCAAATTATTCTATTAATATGCTTCAAACACAGGTCTTAATGTCTCACTCAATAACTTAAACTCAATGAAGTGACACATAGCAAATAGCTGTTGTGTTGGGAAGCATGTCAACAGTAATACAAGCAATTTTTTTTTTTTTTTTACTTTGGGGGAATAATCTTTGAACTGTGAACCCAAGTGCCATTAATTCCCATTATTAGAAGGATGCCTTTTGAAATGCAATTTTTCTGACAATGTAAACAAAGCAGCGTTTGACCTACTGACTCATAGCCCATGGGCCTTGCAGTGCCATGACTGTGTTCGTTTCTTTGTCATACCCTTCTGGCCAATTCATTGATCCACACTAATACTGCCCACCGGTCATTCTCAACATTAGCTAGCAGAAGCTAGCCACAATTGTAACCACTTAATAAAACCAACCACAAGGCCGCGAACAACTCAACTCCTGTAGGGAATGGGTCTGTCCTGATCTAGGTCAGCATTGCACATGCTTAATTAACACGGGTAATGTGGGGAAAAAAAATCCACAAAACACAGCCTCTAAAATATGTAATTAAGTAATCTGGTTAGTTGGAGGAAAGTGCAAGGACAAGGGAGACTTACCAGACCTCCTTGTTATTACCATAATTCCTTCCACATGAAGCAGAAAAGGTCTCCAGTAAAACAGTGAACTAGCAGGTATTTCATTCCCTGTGGGTTACAGAGCAGTGGCACTTCACTCCATGAGGTGAATGGCACACATGCACAGGAGATGGAGCCAGGCCTTAGGGCTAAAACTCCCTGTCACCTCTTTTTAAAAAAAGGACACATAAGACCACACGACTGCAAGAATTGACAACAGGCACCAAACACACACAAACTTTAACACACACCTCCTTGGGCTGAGAGTTATAATGACATTCAGGCTTTGTACAGCACCCCCGAGTGTCCTCCTAGGCTATGAGGTATGCAAATGGAGGGTAATTTGTTTTATTCACAGTGGAGCGGATCGGCTCCACGGTGATGTATGTTCTAGAACAATATCCACTGTTGAATCCACAGCAAGGCCAAATATTCAGGACAGGAAGCCCATTGATCCATTCAGCTGGGTAATATTAGCTCCTGTTTCGGGCTTCATTAACAGAGGAGATGTCAGAGCACACACACCCTATGGTTCGCTGCATAAACTCTCAATGGCCTGTGACTGTGGCATCGGTGCTGTTAATACAGCGCAGACCACACCGTGCAGCTACAGCATGACATCATAGGCTGGATGCATTGAAATTAGCATGTTTCTGTTGTCATCAAGCATTAACTGCAGTACAGTTTAGAGCTGCAAGGATTTAAAAAAAAAACAATGGTAAACAGCCTCTTCTTTGGAGTCCATTGTTTTATGCACACTGCTGTGTTATGCCCCCTGCCATGAGAAACACAGGCACACACGGACAACTTCTTCCAAGGATGAACTCGGAAAGAGCACGGCCCGAAGGCACAGGATGTCTCTTAATGTGTGACTCAAACTAATGGACTGCCTCCGTCTACTGTGCCCCTGCCCTCGCCTGCTCCCTCACTCATCCCATCTCCAACGCAGCCTCTCTTTTCTCATCTTCCAACCCAAATTTCCTCTGCTCCTTCTCGTCTTCCAGCCCCAAACATCTCTATTTACTCCCTCCTTTGCCCCATCCTTTTGTTTTTATGCCTCAGGATGCAGTAGCACAGAAGGCGGGATCAATGTGACAGCAACAAGACAGATGTACACACAATGCACTCACGCACGCGTGGGTGACAGGCTTTTGTCCGAGGTCAGCATGCTTAAGAAAAAAAATAAAATGAAATACAAGCGTGGTACAAAATTTTCTTCAAACAATGCACGTTTTCCAGACCATCCCTAAACCTAACAAAGCACACGATCTGGGACACACACAGTGTTATCCGAGCACAATTCAGAATAGCCTATTTTTAGGCCTGAACCCACCAGTATGTGGGTCTAACCCTGCCGAAAACACACACACGAGCATCCAGGGTGTCAGGCTTTTTAAAAGTCATGCCTTTGCTGACTGCGGTGTCGTCATCTGGTTGGGTTTTCCTCCGGTCAAGCCCGTCTCTTTCAGGATGACAAGCCGCAATTGGTGCATCAGTGGAGACTTAAAAAGAAGCTGTGGCTGCAGCAGCCCTCCACACGGAGAACAGCAGGTCGGCTGATAAAAGGGCCGCTCTCTCTCCTCATGCAAACTGGAAATCACAGACTATCCGAAACACTAAGGGCTGCGCTTTGCAAAACTGGGGGCGAGTGTGTCTATGTACGGCTGACTCAAAGCCGCTTGTCTCAGATCCTGGCTCAAGATTTTTAATGATTGCATTTTTTACATGAGGACAGGAGGATTTTTTTTTCGGGGGGGGGGGAGTGAGGGAGAAATTGCTTGTGACTGTATGGGGATAAAGAGAACACACTCTGTGTTTTCAGGCTTGCCTAAACATGTAGTGCATGCGCTACAGGTCTTATCACCCCGTCACACAGCCAACCATCTATGTGACACAGCAGAAGTCCCATAACCAGTCAGCCCTGCCATGACTGACTGACTACGTCTGCCTGGGCCTGCCAAGCAACTGATTCACACGGAGCTTCTGTTTGTGCGCCCAATGAAGTGCTTCATTCAGCACCAGACGTTTGGATGACACACTCAGTTATTCAGAGCAGAAACAGTTTTTCCCCTCAGATTCCCACTACTCAACAAAACAAAGCAGCCGCTTCTCTTCTCTTACCATCCTCAGTTCCTTTATGAAGCGCTGCAATGACAAGTTGGGAAGCCCCAGGCATGCTTTTAAGTGCTGCAGCCATTAAGACAAGCGAAACTGAAAGACCATGAAGGTTAAGGACTACAGAATCCAGATTGTTAGATTGGAGGAGGAAAAGAAAGAACCGGACCATCTATTTGGTGGGTAGAGCTGGTTATTAGTAATTTCAACAGCAGCATGGAAACATTCACAGCCACACCTGCCTTCACACACTGATACCATCAATACATTCTGCTTGGTTTGCAACAGATTATAATTACAGGGATAACGGTTAATGATATACCCAGCTTTGTTACAGCCAAACAGGATTACACAAAAGTAATTACACCAAACTTTGTGAAATTCCAGCCACATTTAACAACGAAGATATTATCTTGAGAGTTTAAAGTGGTCTTATTGCTCATTTATACTGCGACTGTAACAGTCCCAGAAGATGCAACAAAAGCCTCGCAGTTTTTATTAATATAGTGTGAGCATAACGGCTCTTAAATATTGGATCCCATTCCTCAGAAGGGTAATTAGAAATACAGCTTCTCTGTGCAAAAACATTCCCAAAATGCATGCACTGCTATCATCTTACCCGTGCAGGGAATGTTACTCCCAAGTAGTCTGGATTAGACCTTCGGTCACTAACGCTCGCCAAATGTGCGGACAGCATGACTCATGGACGGTGTGTGCCCTGCCCTTTAATCTCTGCAGCAAGTTGACAAGTGCCACCAAGTCAAAGCACAGCCGCGTAGCCAAGTAGTGCGTGTATGGGCAACTGCAACACACAACCCACGCAGGCACAACGGCTCTTTAGCTTCATCTGGGAATAAGGGCGATAAAACTTGGTGTTATGAGCTCGTGCCATCATAAAGAGACAATTACATCTCCCGTGATAAGTTGTTTCGGGGGAGGCTTGCGCCTCTGTAGAACGATATAGTGCTACATAGGGCGCAAAAGTAGGATTAGGGTCTGTTTACGTTCACTTCTGATGACCAAGGACTGGCCATTAGTTCCTACACAAATATTGCCACGCTTGTTGTGGGCGCGCACGGGGACGCTTCAGGCTGCGCGTGCAGGAGCGCGTGTGCCAGATCTTCAGGAACATCAGAGGGGGGCAATCGGAAAGCCAACGAGAAAAACTGCAAAATGACAACAACAAAAAAAAGCAACAGAGCAACACTTACTTGCCGATGACCTCGCAGAGCTCGTACACATCTTCAAAGAGAATGTCGTCGTCCGCCATAGTCCGACCCCGGTTGGGGAAAAATTATCCACCCCCCACCCCCCCACCAAAAGAAATGCGTCCCAAACCTCAATTTATGTTCCTAAAAGGAGTGCTACGGGCAGACGACAGTGTCAGGAATAACTGACAAAACGCCGCTCGTGTCGCCAGCAGCAGGGTAAGTCGGGAAAGAGTTGCAAAGAAAGGTTTCCAAATCCCAGTTGTTGCCTCCTTCGTCGACCCCTGTACCCGCTTCCCCCCAAAAAATAAAAATCCCCCGCTGCGAGTGAACCGGCACAGGGAAGAGCTGCGTATTCCAGGGCTCTGCCCCGCCTTTCCCGGTATCGTGCCCCCCCCCCGTTTCAAAAAGCAAACCTCACAGGGTTGTCAAACAACATAGTAAACTACTTCACCAGCGTGACAATCCCCGTAACGACGCAGACATGGTCACCGTTTTCAGTGTTGTGCTGACAGAGGGCGAAACGAGCCGGTAAGGCAGTGTTGTGCATCAGGTTCGGGTTACAGCGCTGAACCAGGTGGGTTACGGTTATCTTCACATCCCAAACAGCTGCGGGTTTACTCTTCAGTGTTTTCGGGGGTGTGCGCGCGCATATACACAGAGTCCTCTTGTAGTGTAACGGACGACCTGGTTCAAGTCCTTGGCGTACAAAACCACGCGCGTCGCACTCCTCGTCTTTTACCTCGGCTTGACAAGACTTTGCAGCCTCTGGTTTACCTTTTATTTCTTCCCACTATCGCCCGTTTGGCCCGGACGCTCAGCTCTACAGAGCTTCCAGAAAACCAAGCTCCTCCTACACGGGAGTTATGAAACTGCTCCCTTATCCTCCATCTTGGCGCCAAGCCTTTCCTCACGGTTCCCCTGTCAGGTTAATAGGCTTTGAGCCAATATGGCGGACCGGTGGCGCCGTAAAGATTTCTCTAAACCCGCAGTTTCCTCTGGACTTTTTCAATGGAGTTCCCCACCCGGAAGCGAGTAGTATGAATGAAGAATGTTCGCAAACGTTAGGAAGTATATTATTTAAGTTGAGTATTCAAGAAGTCACGTCTAACTTTTTTCTTTAATGATTAAAGGTACATAAAGCTTAAATTTGTCAAAGAATAATCAGCAACTATTTTTGAAACAAATTTTCATCTAAAAAAAAAAAATCTAATTTTTTTCCCTAGTTGTCCGGGCTGAGCCTGTGCCTAATTGTTTTACATAATGAATGGATCTGTACAAAACAAGACCCTGAAGTTACAATGGGCTCTAGGTATGAACAGCCCACATATTTGAGGAATTATCCTCTGTCAAATCATGAATCTTTGTTTCCTGGATCCAGCCTCTTTAGTTTGCAGATTGTAAGTGAATATTTAGATTTTTGAATTGTTGCCTGGACAAAAAAGAAATTGTCCTGGGAACATGTGACAAAGCTTTTGTGCCAATTTGAATCGTACAAGTAATCACTTATTGGAGACTCACCAAGTTAAAATAGCTTTGAATTCTCACCCTATTGAGTATCTTTAAAATACGGTGGTCTAAATGCACACCCATTTGTCCTGAGACATTTATCTAACCTTGCTGCTCAGCAGTGGTCAGAGGTATGGCCACCACAGACTGGGACTGCTTTCAAATAGGTTTGCTTAAACGGTTTTTAACTGAAGGAAGTGACCCAAGTCTCACTGTGGCAGCCATGATACTATTTACAGAAATCACTGATCAATATCTAATGAGACCAGGGGTTCCATTATATTTACCTTTATTTTTCACTAGTTTATGGACAATCGATACAGAAAGTCTAATCACAGACACATTTATTTTTTGAGAAATTCTTTATTGAGTTCAGTTGATTCTTTTGAGCATTATTGCACTGACAGATTATGGAAGGTGGACAAACAGAGTGTGGCTGGCCCTCCTGCGTTGAAAAGAAAACCTTAATCAGGACTGCTCACGACAATTATTTGGCTTGTTAAACTTCAGTTAGCATTTCATAGTTTATTAAAAAGAAAACTGTGCTAATATAGATGTTAGCAGTGCTAACCTTTTCCTGGTTTTCAGCAGAATGTGGAGCAAAAGAGTAAAAGAAGTTCAATCACTTGCTTAAGAGCCCCTGGGGCAAACCAAAGTAACAGGTTAGAGGAGTTTAAACAAAACATTTCTAATATCCAACTGATTAAATGTGTTATTTAATTATTCACAGAGATCTGTATATATGCGAAAATTCATTCTTTCTATTGTAGTTTGGTTTGGTGTTGGTTTATGTATATATTTAGATTTTCATTTGGCTTCGTTAGCCTTCAGACTTGGGTCATTCCAGATACTCACATGAGGCAGGTAGAGTATCAAAAGAAGCCAGCTGCTTCTTAGCACGTTGGTCAGTGTGTGTTGTTTTGAATTCCTGCTCTGCTAATAAAGGTCTTGTCTTGTCTTTGTGAATTTTCCTTCACATGTTATCATGTCTATGTGTGATTTCACAGGGGCGCAAAATGATATGAAAATGATGTAATGTAACCTGATGACACAGAATTGTATTTTTTATTATTGTGTGTGTAATTATTTACTTATGTTTTTACATAAAAATAAAGGAACATAAAGAAAATGCTTTCTGAGGTAATTATTCAGTAATAAAGTTACCCATTTTGTAAAAAGATCAACAAAAGACTTTATTAAAAATAAAATAAAATAAACTTGTTTTGTAAAAATCCACAAGCCACATTCCACTGATTTCATGCAAACCTCATTATTTTTCTTATCACTTCTAGGTTGGTCAGTCCATCTGTCTATTTACTGTTTTTATTTTGCTTTGTTTTTTAAAAGTTTCAAATCGTACCCTGCGGCCCAATCACAGATCTATAAACTGTGAGTAATTCCCTTATTAGACAAAGTCTGCATAAATGCACTTTTCTGTCATTATTATTATTATCATTATGGCCTGATAGCAGGACAGTCATAACCCCTTATAGCGGGAATCCACTTTAAAGTCTCAATATATGAGTTTGGCCAACCCTCATAGCCAATGGTCTATTAAGTGTCTGTCATTTTAATGAATGCATCCACATATTTAAATAGTCATTATCTTAAAAGCTTAAGTAACATTCTGCAATCTTCAACAATGCTAAATTTACCATTATGCAGGCCGTGTTCTTCTACATGGCCTGCATAAGCAAATGATAAGAGTTAGTAATCAAAAGAACTGACTACTTGGTCTACCAGCCAAGCAAAAAAACAAAACAAAAAACAAATCAAACATTAGCTTGTTTGCCGGCTGCACATCACTAATGGTCTCACTTCAGTCCCTTTTATAAAAACACCTAGTTCAACCACTAGTGTTAACATCCACAATGACAGTAGATCTGTTTTGTAAAACTGAAACGCATAGATGCTTATCTCATGATTGCTATAACAGGGGGTAACGTTATTACTAAAATGCTAATGGTGATGCAAGGATACAGTTCATGAGTACACATTTCCAGCTGCTTCATTTCTATATGGAGAGAAGCTGTTGCAATTTATAGTGAAAACTGTGTCACAACATTATACTGTAACAACAGAAAGACTGAAACTTAATATAGTAACAACCTCTAAACACAGTTTCAAGCACTGTGTACAATCATAATTTGACACACTTTAAATAAAATATCAGTTTGCCCTTTTATCCTCTGTCATGGCAGTTCTCATAATCTTAAACTGCTTTTTAATCAGCTACCACCAAAATACAGCCTGAAACTGAGCTAGTGTTGTAGGCACAACATACAGACAAGCGCTGTCTATTCATATTTCATGGGGCTCTGGTGGGATAAATACATTGCCAGCCGATTGCCTAATTAATGCCGTGTGAATAATTAAGCAGAGTTAGTAAACCCAAGATGATGAGCTTGTTCTTTTATTTATGGTTTTTCAACAAAAAGGACTAGATGTAATTAAATGAGCCCCAGAGCAATTACTGTAGGTATTGTTTTATTCCCTTGGTGCATGGTTGCTTAGGTTGCACTAAAATCTTCTGTGTGGGTCTTGACAAAAAATAAATAAAATAAAAATAATTTTTTCAAAAAGTGCCCTTGCTGATCACACAAGACTGTGTGTGCAGGCAAGGAAGTCAGGATGTTGCGAGGTGATGAGCAGGAGGCAATTTGGCTTAGGAATAAGAGAAATCAGGACATCAGAGGAAATCTTATCTCTAACCAACACACCCTTCTAGACTCGGCTGGTGGGGCAGCAGTGTATGTGTGTGTGCGGGGTTTTTTGTGTGTGTTTACCTGATGCTCTTCAGACTCTTTCACCAGTCTAAAAAAGAAAGAATTACACCTGAAGCTGATGTATTATAGATTTCTTCTCTGCTGAATGACGGTGTAGTATTTCTGTCATGGCACTGAGTCTGTGACCCAGTGTTTTTGGTTTATTAAATATTGCATATTCCAGGTTCTGTTTTTTTGAGTTGTTTTTCTGCTTTGTGTTATATTTGTAGTTTCTGCTCTTAGTTTTGTCATCTGGCCTTTAGGTTCTGTTTCCATGCGTCTCCTGTGTTCCATGTTCCATGTTTTGTCAGCCTCGTCTTCATGTTTGTTTAACTCTTGTCTACAAGTTCGGTGTTCCCTTTCTGTCTCCCCAGTCAGTCTTGTTCCCATGTCCTACCTCTGCCTGCCATACATCGTTACATGACAATTACTGTACACGTGCACACAAATCTTGACACTCAAACTGAGCTGGCTTTTTTTTCAGTTTGTGTAGCACTTCAGAGCCGATGAAAGACTTCTTCTCAATTGTATCACTAATTACACCAGCTCATTATAGAGCCAAGGGACCTCACATGCTGAGCTATTGTGGTCAAAATACTTCAATATTTACTGGAAGTGTTGCTTAACCAATTCAGTATTGCATTTCCAAAAAATAATAATAATACAAAAACAACTTGCTATGCTAAAGTTTAGAATAGAATAGAATAGAATAGAATAGAATAGAATAGAATAGAATAGAATAATCCTTTAATTGTACCACAAGGGGAAATTTGGTTGTAACAGCGGCCAAAAAGACACATATACAAACAAAGACACAGTAAACAGGACACAGAACAGAAACATACACACAGACAACCACCAAAAACCAGGGTGTACAATTCCCATAACTGTTTGTAGAGGCTAAAGGCTGGTATGTGTTTCTCTGGGCTGCAGGTGAAAGTGCATGAGATCATTACATTTTGTGTGTGTACTATATGAATATTCATTAGAACATTTGTCATAAAACGGTTTGGTTTTTTTTGTTCTTATTTTTTAAAATTTCAATGAAGCAGTCAGATTAATTCATACCAGTGAGAACCAACGATCCGAGTTGGTGCAGGTATGCAAGGTCTTTGTTCCCATCTGATTCCCATGTGTGGTTAGCCTTAAAGGGGACATGAAATGCTGCACATACTGTATAAAGGCTAATAAACACCACTGAGCCCTGCTCTCAAAAACTGACATAGATGTTACACTGTCTGTCAAGCTGGATTTAAGAAATAAGTGCTTAAGAAACAAGAGATTGTTGGATAAGGTTAGTGGACAGCACAGATTTAAGGTCACTGTTAACTGAGCCATGAAGCACACTTACACCTCTCCAAATCAAGACTCTTAAAAAATTTCAGGGGTAGGTTGAGAAACATCTCAATGTGATCAAGGCCAGTTCAGAGCAGCCCAACCCAAAGCTTCCCACCTCCATGTGCAAGACACTCTCAGCACACCCACAGAGCTCTAACATCTAACAGGTCGAACCTGCTCTGGCAACTCAAGAAGTATTTGCGCAATATTATACACATGGTTTTAATGTTGCAGCATGATCACTGTATGCTGTCAATGAACAGTTTACTGATACCAGTCTCAACATTTTATACGTT